GCTGAGCCGAGGTCCAGCAGCTTCGCCCAGACTTTCCATGACAGTGCAGCACGCATCCCACGCTGTGACGCCAGGGCAAACAGGCACCCTGCTACCCAAGCACTAACAAAAAAGCACCGAACCCCGTTTAGGGAGTGGGGGTCCTCCGTCACTTATCGCTGCCAATCGACGATAATTTGCCCTCGCGCTCCGACCCCAACAACACCAACAAACGATCCCAACCAAAGCGACCGGGGGTGTGGGTGCGAGGCCCGCAAAACGAGCTCCGTGGACCCGGTAGACAAGCGCGCAATCCATATCCGTACGGAGTACTTTACATTTCCTTTCGAAATTTAAATCCCATCACCAACCCATGGCGACCTCCCTCCTCGCCCAATGCTCAACCACCCTCTGGTGCCACCTCCGTTCCCTCCCCCTCTGGGCCTTCGTCCTCGTCGTCCTCCTCCTCGGCGCACTCCGCCAGCGCATAGTCCCATCTTCACCGTCTTCTTCTCCGACCAGACGGCGACGGGCAGCACCGGTCGTCGCGGATAAGAAGACGTCCGCCTCCTGAAGGGCCTCTCTTACCCAGGAGAAACACCACCAGCAAAACAGACACACAATATGGCGTCCGCAATCGCAAAGGCCTCGCGCACCGAGGCCGACTTCGATCGCGTCCCCGTCCGCGTCGTCCGCCTCATCCGCCTCGCCGGCGCCAGCGGCCTGGCGTACGCCGCCTACAAGATCCACTGGCGCATCGTACTCGCCAGCTTCTTCACCGGCCCGGGCAAATTCAGCCGCATCCTCATGCTCATCTTTGCCCTGCTGAACCTCAAGAACATGCCCTTTGTCTGGACCGTACGTTAACCCTCCTCTCTCTCTCACGTCTACAGACAGAAGACAAGAACAGCCAAAAAAGACTGACACATCCACAAACAGTACCGAGTATGGCACGCAATAATCTACCACCTCTTCATCCGCAAATCCCCCCGCCTCGGCCCGCGCTCCCTCTTCCGCCCCATGATCTCCCAGTCCCACGCCCCCATCACCGAGATAGACTACAACATCCACAAGTCCAACTCGACCTACTTCTCCGACCTCGACGTCTCCCGCACCCACCTCTGCACCTACCTCCTCCGCCCCGGGTTCCGCCAACTCACCCACAACGCGACAACAAAACTCGTCCTCGACCCCAAGACCTCGAAACCAGCCCGCGGCCCGCTCGGCATCATGCTCGGCGCCGTACACTGCTCCTTCCGCCGCGAGATCACGGCCTACGCCCCCTACGAGATGTGGTCCCGCATCCTCTCGTGGGACCGCAAGTGGCTGTACATCGTCACGCACTTTGTCCCCAAGGGCACGGCGCGTCCTACCGAGTGGCTTGATCCCAAGTTCGGCACCGCGCGGGTCCGGAGGAACACCGGCGGCGACGCGAGCAGCAACAGCGCGGACTGGGAGAAGAAGATTTACGCCACGGGCGTGAGCAAGTACGTCTTCAAGATTGGGCGGTTGACGGTGCATCCGGCCGTCGCGCTTGAGGCGAGCGAGCTGCTGCCGCACAGGCCGACCGAGGGCGGATGGCAGGGCGGCGAGAACGGTGTCGGGGACGAGAGTGTTGATTTGAGTGATGTCGCGGACGACGGCGCGTGGGATTGGCAGATGGTTGAGAAGAGGCGGCGCGAGGGGATGAGGTATGCTGCGCAGTTTGCTGCCATGGATGATCTGCATGGCTGGCTGGACGGCGCGGATGGCGGTGACGGAAGTGCCTTGGGCAAATTCGGACTTGGATAAGACGAGAGGAGATGGCGGGATTCGTGATACCCAATAGACTTGGACGGTATTGACATTGGATGAAGATAAAGAGGGAGGCAAAGACGCGATTGTAGATGATTCAATCTGGGATATAAATGTTTTTTTAGGTTTACATTGCCACTAATCAGCTGATAGAACTAGATATGCATGCGCGTACAACTACAACAAGACTTCCATGGTCAGGTGTGCTGGCTATTTCTCTTTTTCCCGCTAAACTCCGCAGTCCGCAATCTTTCCTCTTGCATTGGATACATCAATTACAAGGGATGAAGTGAAAAATGTTGTTCAAATCAAAGCCACAACTGGTAGGTGAGAAAGGTGAATTTAGAGAGCGAACGCAGCGGCCGCGGCGATGGCTCCAGCCCAGCCAGCGACCTGGGCTCGGCCGGCGGCGGCTGGTGATGTTGTAGTGGTGACCGCAGCCCCTGTTGCGGTGCCGCTGCGGGAAGAAGTGGTTGTGCCGGAAGCCGTAGTCGCGGCAGCGGTGACGGAGCCAGCCGAGGCGGTGCCGGAAGATGTGCCTCCTGCGGCGACCTGGGCGCAGATCTGAGAGGCGAGCTGGAGTACCGCTGGAAGTGTGTTAGCTCTATTGTTCAAAGCTTGAACGTCTTTCTCATGCTTTGTGAGAACACATACTGGCCTGATCTGTCGAGCTGCAGCCGGAGGAAGCAAGGCAGGGCACGACCTTGGCTGTGAGCTGCTCGACCTTTCCGCAAGAGCAGGCAAAGTCTGTGATATCGCAGTTGACAGACTGGGCACCATCACGGATGCAAGTGACCGCGCAAGTGGGAATCTCGGCAACAAGCTGATCGATGGTGTCGGCAGCCACGAGGGCGGCGAGGATAGATACGACAATGGTGTACTTCATCTTGGCGGTTTGCTGTGATCCTTGGAGGCCGAGGTTGGGTCGAAGTAAGTTTGGGGTGTCGAGGTGTGGTGAAGTGGCTGATAAGGCGGGTAGGAGCAAAGGCAAAGTAGAATAAAGTAGCAGACCGGTTGTGAGAGAGGACGAAGTGGTCTTTTAAAGAGCATTGAATGAGACGCCAAGACTGTGGCATCAACAGCAACCGGTCGCCGGAATGGCACAAGCTCATAGAGGTAAACCGCCGAGAGCTCCAAACGTAGCCAAGACGCGGTCTACGTCGGCGCGCCGTAGCTGTCTCGCACCCCGGATCAGGCAAGACGACGGATGGGGATCATGGCACAGTGATGGGAATTATTGGTGAGGCATTCAACCGAGCGAGCCAAAACCCCTCAGGCAGCTGCTCACTCGAGCCTTGTCATCCGTTCTGTGGCAGAACGTCTACTGTCAGTCTAGAGATGATCGGCCGCCACACCTCACTTGGCGTGAAGCCGCTGGAGCTCTCATCAAATGCACCGCTCGGACTGGCTCGTTTTGCAGTGCTGTCTAGTAGTCGTGGCGCAGGTGCTAGTCTTCCCTCTGACCGTGAACAAAGGCGGCTAGAGGGGATTCTGGGTCAGTCGATAGCATCTATCCTCCATCCTCCGGTTCCGAGCTGTGGTCGATCTTCCGCAAACGTCTGCGCGCGGAAACCGAAGCGCAGGCAAGGGCCCTGGAGGCTGGACGAGCCGACCAGCTTGAGGTTTGAGATTCTCTCTTGTGAAAACGCTGAAGTCTAGACTTTTTCCGAGTAACTGTTCATCTCTCCTGACGAATGCGCCCTCAAGGTCTCAGATACATGACGTTGACGACCAGTTACCTGGGTCTTCGCTCTGAGGAATGCAGGCTCAGGGGAAGTTGGTTAAGCTCATCCGGCATCAACTAAGCTTCCCGCAGGCCCCTGTCACCTGCAGGTCGGAAAGAGGAAGATCAGACGCTTGTCCAATCGAAGTGCTCCATTTATGTGTGCAGGGAATGCACTGAGAACACCTGCATTAGCCGTCCGACGCTTCTCGCATGGTGTGTGGCCTGTGTTCCCGTGCCCTCCCGTGCCTCGAACAGAATATCGGACGAGTGATTGCCAGTCTCTGCGAATTATCTCGTCCAGTCGCACTTTTCAGCTATCGGGGCAGCGGCCCTTGGTGGAGAGAAATGCAATCGACCACAAACGTAAGATTGGGGGATCATGAGTCAAGCATGATCAGACGTGAAGAACAACCGGCGTGGTGATCCCGAAGGTGTAGCTATCAACCGGATGACCGAGGCCGTGCGTTCCGGGTCTATTGGCCATGCGAAATTGGTTTCTTGATCCTTTTCGTTAGCCTCGCAGACTCTGGTTGCACACTCTTATCCACCAATCGACCAACATGGAACGTCTAACTCTAGCAGACATTCGCGCATTGTGAGCCGCTAGCTTCATTGTGTTTGCCTAAGCGGTGTCTGCCTTGAGCAGTTCCTTCTTCTAATAGAATGCCATTCGACCTTCAGCTGGAAAAAGCCTTCATCCTGGTGGCGAGTGGGAGGCGCCACGAGGATTCTCTCACGTTGCCGTGCGCTTGTAGGAAACACATTACTCGGAGATATGATGCCAGACGGGCAAGCAATTGGTTGTTCCGGGCCTCGAGTCTCCTCATGTTCAGGAGGATTGGCATGTGTCAAACCGTAGCGACAGTCTCAAGCTGATCGTTGCTCCATACACTCCCGTTCCCGTTACTAACTTGCCCTAATCCGAGTAGCAGTTTGAAATCTTTCGTGAGCTTGGCAGGCGCCCGACCCGGTGGGTTGCTCAGCGATTGTAGAGCATAGGAATGCAAACGGAGTGCCGGGCAGAAGATTGGCGGCGAGATCAGGTATCGAATCCGAAGCCGTTAGCACGTGGCATGTTGATTCGTTCCTCGCAAATCGCCCTCACAGCGGCCGTGGAGGTTCACCTCTATCATCGACGTCCACTTGAGGTGGTCACCGTTCTCAAAGTCGATTGCAGCCACGCATGCTGGACGATAATTCGAAGTCAATGACTGAGACGGGTGCACGGCCGAAGCGGGCGCCCGCCTTGTTGCTCGACCGTAGACTGGAGATTTTGGCTCTCGAATTGGAGCCATCCCAACTTTGTTTCCTCGGCACAGCTATCGAGGCACAGAGCCACTTCGATTTGTGAAATGGGAAAACCTTCCCCAGTGGTGCCACGATTCTTGCCCAGCTTCGCGTGGGTAACATCGGATTGTCTCGTACTGGGGCTCAGAAAGCATAAAGTTGGTTGACGGCGAGCTGCCAGGCTCTTTCAGTCTTACTTGCAGACAAGTGCAAAGTTAAGTTGGCTAGAGACGAATCGCAAAGCATGCGAAATCTGGTAGCGAGCGATGTATATGTAAGTCGGGATGGGCAAGGTGGTTGATGATAAGACGGAATCGCTGGCTCCGCGAAGAAGTCGGTGACGAAATGGCGGACCCACCTACAGTACCTGCCGTGCGAGATCTGATTACTCAGACACGGTAGGTACGCCAGTGCCCCTCCATCCCAGATTGGCGGCCGCGGGGCAGTCGGACCTGAACAAAGTCCACCTTGGCTAAAGGCGCGACAACTTCCACTCTCCTTCACATCACACTCCCCCCAGACAACTACGGAGAAATCATGACGGAACAACCGGTATCAGTCCTCTTTGTCTGCCTCGGCAACATTTGCCGCTCAACAATGGCAGAAGGCGTGTTTCGCAACTTTGCGCAAAAGCCTCAGTACAAGGGCCTCATCTCAAAGGTGGATTCCTGCGGCACAGGTACGAAATATGGCGGATACGTCATGATGAACCCAATTCCTCTACCAATTCTTGTGCGCAAAGCAAAGCTGACGCGGTCTTTTGCGCAACAATAGCGGCCTACCATGTCGGCGATCCTCCCGATGACAGAACCATGGCGACGCTCGAAGACCACGGCATAACGGATTACTACCACGCTGGTCGCAAGGTACGATGGTGCTCCCTCTCTCACAGGGTGCGCCCGGGCGGATCTGAAGAGAGAACAGACTTGCTGACCGTCACGCTTCCACAATGTGCAGGTGTCGCCCTCAGACTTTAACAAGTTCGACTACGTCTTCGCCATGGACCGATCCAACCTACGAGACCTTCAAAACCTACAACAACGAGGCCACACCGATTCAAAGGCCAAGGTGATGCTCTTTGGCGAGTTTTCAGGAGGACCGAGGTCGGAGGTGGTGAACGATCCATACTATGGTGGCGATGAGGGTTTTGCGAAGGCCTATGAGCAGTGCACACGGTTTTCGACCAACTTTTTGAAGCACGTCTTCCCCGATGTCGACCCCAAAGCATAGAAGGACCGTGGATTGCGATCAAGGTGGAGAGAAGATTGGAGCCAAAAGGCGAGGGCAAACGGTCGGCGACGCGCCGCGAAACACGACTTGGGGGCGGCGGTACGCGTTGCAGCAGGAATCCGACTGGCTGCGGCCAAATAAGGACTTGTCGTTGACGATCATCGCGATCATGGTAAGGCGTCAGAACAGGGGCGAGAGGGGTGGGTAGGCCATTGAGAACAGCTTGCCGCGCTGCCGAAGTGATTATGCTGCATTATTAGAGAAAGAAAGGTAGAGACAGGAGGAGCATTTAAGCGTGTCTTTGGTTTGATTGATTCCACAGCTACAAGATGCACATAGAAGATTAGATTCCATGCAGTTGCCAGCCAATGCAGGTGCAAAGTGCAGGACAACGGCAAGACGGCCAGATGAGGATGGAGCCGTAGACGCCGTTGAAGACAACTCGAGAGGTCGAGGTGCCTAAGCGAAATGGATTCGGGATGTCGGCTACGCGCAAGCTAGCGTCTTTGGCGGCGGCAGCAGCTACTTGGGCCTTGGCAATCACACCAAGATTGAAAAGCACTAGGCGGGCCGAGGAAAGATTTTGGCGTCCGTACTCCGTATTACCTGGACAGATTCGTGGATGAGCTCAGAGGCTCTTCAGCCCTACCAGTCCAGTAGACACGTACAGGAGATGCCGCCGTACCTAGGTATGCTATGGTAGTGTGCTGCCCGATAATGGGAAGAGCAGCTTACCTACACCGTCGAGGATGACTGCACAAATGACGGCGGACGAACTGCTTACGGCAGATCCCTCGAGGGGCTGTGGTGTTGGATGAGGTGCGATATTTCGGGATCCTGCGCATTAGAAGTAGTGATGCTGACGCATCTAAGCTTACATGATAATGCAGTGGTGCATTCTGACCATGGAAGAGAGGGCTAGCCTAAAGCACACATCTTCAGCAACCTACCTTGGGTGCAGTTGCTTGGTTTGTCTCGTTCAGACTGGTTGTGGATGAGGCGCGGCTGAATCGGCCTTCAGTTCAAAGTTTTGACGGTGCTCACATCTGGG